ATGTTATATTTTTGTCAAAAGTTAAAATGGGTATTTTTAGCAATAAATTAAAATTATAAATTGAAGTTACGAGTTATGAACATTTCATTGATCCTAATGATACTTATAATTTCAAAATCTATGAAAGCTTAAAACAAAAATTATAAAAATTAGTTCAGTTCAGGTTAGTTTACCAAAAATTTTCTTAAAAGATCCATTTAAAAATACGAAGAGCAGGCTTGACCTAAGGGTCAGTGATGACGAAGTACGGAATGTTTTCCTGAAACCCTCTAACTTGGAAGAAATGATAACCATAATAATTAGTGTTTAATTATTATCATTTCATATTAGTCCTAAATTTATAAATTTAATTGTGAAAAAGCAAAGTTATGCATACTCAATCAAGTATTTAGTTAGTTGTATTCATTCTTGTTCAAAACCAAAAATTTGAAGATATTAATTGCTCTTGAAATAAATGAAAACATTGCAACAATACCTTAAATGTTAAAACACAAATTTATTTTTTTAATGCTGGCATCTATTGAAAAGAACAAAAATTACAAAATATTCAAAATTTTGAATTGAGACCAAGAAAGTAAAAAAATGGAAGGGATTTTCTCCAAAAATTCTGCAACTTTTTTTTCAATTAAGTGAAAAATTTAACAAACAAAAAAATTATTCAAAATACAATTGCAGAAAAAAATTATTCAAAATGAATGCAGTAAGTTTTATGAATGAATTGAAGTATTTTGAAAAATCTAAAATTGAAAATTCTCATTTGAGAGGCTCTTTCAAAAAGATATGAACATTTGTTAAAGTATTAACAATCTTAGTATTCTTCCATATCGACATAATTCATATAAATTTAAGCAAATTAAATTGCAATTATTTCGTGCAAATTTTCAAACTATAAAGTGATCGAAAAATTATATTTGCAGATTATTACATTTTGTAACATGCAATTAGTGCAACAATTGCTCGTAAAATTATATTTTATCTACAAATTTTATAGTAAATTTTATTTTATGACTAATAATACTTTGTTTTTAAATTCCAGTAATAAATATAAATGAGTTCATGCTATGATTGATGAATATATCGTAAAAAAGTGTCGTATTATGTGAATAAAAGATGACTAATTTAGTTATGAAAAAATTCGTACCAAAAAAGTGGGATTTAAAATTTATTTCCTTATTATATTTGAAAGATGCCTAAGTTATTAAATTTTAAACCAAGTGGTACCTGAAGATATCACTTACTCTAAAATTTTCTTCGAAGTAATTCAAGTCTTTCTCCAACGGAATTAATGATCTGTTACCTTTACCTTCTGTTACTTAAAATATCATCATTTCATGATGAGCGAATTGTTCAAATTGATTTAATAACCTGCTTGTAAGATGTTTCCTAGAAATCTCCATATTACTTTGAATCACGTGCAAAATGCAACTCTTAACAGATACTGGAAAATGAATAAATGGACTTCAGATGCATTTATGTTTGAATGCATCTGAAGCCCGTTTATCAAACTTTGAAAACAGTGAAATTGAATTTTTTTTCAACCATCGTGCTGTGAATTATGAATAAATCTTTGCTAATTCAATTGACTTTAACTTTTGTTTTACAGAATTGTTCCGCAATCAAAAATCAATCAGTCAACTTTATTAATTTTTCAAGTAAAAAATATTTCAAACTATCAGTCTGCGGTGCTACTCGTAGCTGAGAAGATGAAACTATTAAATTTCATTTTCAAAACAATCAGAAATACTATTTTTTTATACTCGAAAGCAAAATATCTTACTTTCATCGACGTGATATAAAAAAATTACAATAATTGCTCTATTCAAACCATTCTTTATCAAAAACAATCAAAATTTAAACTGATAATTTTCACTGACAGGTTGAATTTCATGCAAGAAAAACGACTGTACAAATTTAAAAGACAAATATTGAAAAAACTCGTACTTACTGAGATGGTATCACTTCAATAAATCCATTCGATGGTTTTACATAAAGCTTAAGAGTAATTGTTACTGCGTAAAACCTATATAAATTTAAGAAATTTATTAAAAAACTGTTTTTTACGATTAATTTTTATTATATCATTCTTTTGAATTTAAAAAAAAAACATTCGTAAAAAAAATTTCAAAATTTATCTATTGTTATCTGTCGTAGCAGAAACAGATGGACAATGATACATTATCATTATCATTCTCTATTAAATGATAATATTACAATATTACCATTTAGTCGAAAAATCGTATTAAGCTAGAATTTTTACTTGTGCAAATATCTAAAATATGAAGCGTAACGGTGTAGATTACATCATTTTAAGTGCTTTTTTTTTCTTTTTAATCTGTCATAGATTTAATGCTTTTAAAATATTTCACTTTTGCACTATGATGGATGCTAATGCAAAGAATCCATGTGCTAGTGATGAAGGTATGCTTGGAATGATTCGTACTTCCATTTTAACTTTCATGAGCAAATATACTAATCAACTGTAAATATAGCAAATATACTATTTAAATTTCAGTTTTCTCGCTTTATATCTTATTTTAAAATTACGGAAAAAATTTATAACGATGAATTTTAGGAATTACTTGAGAATGATATTTTAGTTATTTGGAAAATTCATTGAAGAAAATAGTAAAGTTAATGTTACTAATTTTTTTTCAAAATGCTTCTGCCTTTGTATTTCTAGTATTTGCATGTAAAAGTATAAAAATTCACGTATATTAATTTTAAATTCCTATGATGTTATTTAATTCGTTTTCAAAAAAATGGTTAACAGTTAAGAAATGATTTCATATAAAAATAATACATTTTATGAATGATATTTGAAAATTCTCACTTTTATTATAAACTATAAAAAAAGAGCAATGTAAGCGAGGAAAAGTCCTTTTGCAATTCTTATGATTCCTTTTTTTTTCCATTTCCGTTAATTAAAACGGATGCGTAACAGCGGAAGAACTATGCTTACGTAAAAATAATTACGTCAATTGATGTATGATAATTAACGGGCAATAAAGATTGCTGCATTCATTTTAATATGAAAATCAATATTTGAAATATGAGCTAAAGGACGAAATTAAATGAATGATTAATTAAATTCATCGGTGAATATGTTTGCTATTGTAAAATTAACATTAAATATTGATGATTTATCACTAAAATTTGAAGGATGAAGTAATTTGAGAAATTAATAAGGAATTCAAAAAATGAATGGAAACAATTCTGAAATGTTTCCATGCAATACAATGGCTTTTTCAAATAAATATGGACCCAAAGTTATAGTGTAACATTAAAAAATGCTCCAACAACCAGTCAAATCGATAAGGCCGAACTGCAAACTTCGCAAAAGTTTGATGTCCTTTTATTCCAAAAAGAAAAAAGAAAAGAAGAGAAAGGAAAAGGGAGGAAAAAAACGTCAAATTATTTATGAATTTTTTGATTTATCTTCTTCAGTTCAATTTTTTCACACTTTTCAAATAATCATTGTTTCAAAGCTTTTTCAATTCATTCCAAGTTGATGATATCTTATTATAACTTTTATTAATTATTTGAATAAATTTTATTAATGCTAGCTGTTTTCATCAAAATTATATTAGTTAGTATGTGAAATGTAATAATCATTGTTTGTTATCATTTTAATTCCAATTATTTTTCAATATTTCAACATATTCTTCCGAATATTGAAGATTAATTGAAGCCATATGAGATTCTCAGGTAAGAAATTAGAAAAGTGACAGAATACGGCATTACTTTAAAAAAAGAGAAAAGGAAAAGGAAAATCGCACGGAGCTAATAGTAGCTCAATATTGCAAAGTTATAACATTTTTCAAAGCTAAAATGCAATTTAGAAGTTATGAATAATCTATTCAGTGAATGATTGGTGCGCAAATTTAGTTGTTCGCTGAAAATGGTGCATTCCATAAATTACCAGGAAAAATTAAATTTTCGCATTATTGCTAATACTATTTGCACACATTAAGGCATTGCTCAATAAATGCAAATAATATTTCTATTAATAATACTCAAATTATATTAAAGATTTTTTCTGATTTAAAATTTATTTACAAAAAAAAGATCGTTTTTACTATTTGCATACGTGTTCTTCATTTGCCTTTTCATATCCTCAGAAAAATTTTATTTTTGTAATGAGTTCGAAAAATTTTTTGCAAGTATTTTCGTTTTAAAACTATTAAACTGTCAAGGTCATAGATCTGGTAAACAAATTTGAGAAATCGTTTGAAAAAAAGTATTGGTAATTAAATTGAAATTTATGGATGACAAAAGATTTTATTTTGCTAAGCTTATAAGTCGGGAACATGATAAATGATAAAAATTTTGAAAATTCACATTACAGTTCATATTAAATAAACAATGCTAACCGAGTCAAAATTAGTCATTTCAAAAAAAAAATTTTCTTGGAATGATTTGTTAAATAATTTGTTAGATAATTTACTTCACTTACGAGAATTCGAATATGCAAGTTATTGCTATTTTCGGTTGACAATTTATACGTGTTTAGTATGAATTTATTGTCTGAGAATCATTTAAAATTAATGTCAACAACGCTTCAACCCAATAAGTCTACGATGTTCCATAAATTGATTAATTATTATAATTTCTTTGGTAAAGTTGATTAGTTTGCAGCAATTTTCAATAAGTCGTAGATATAAAAAAGTTTTAATGAATTTTAGGCACAAAACGATACAGAAATGATAATCATCACTTAAATAATTATTTATTTAACCGAAAAAAGTGAAATAATTATGAGCATTGTTAGCATTTGTTAAGATGTAAAAATTTGCAACAGAAAGAAAATTATAACATTTCATAGTAATAATCCGAAGTACTTTGTAAAAAATCTTAAAATAACGATAAAAAAAAAAGATTATTCATTTATAAACTTCAAATAATTCATCCGTTTTCCACAAATTACATTTTTATTTTTTATCCCTAGATCAGATCATTTTAATTAGAAAATATGAAATGGCAATGTTGTAAAATGTTGCAAATTACGGAACATAATCCGGGCATTGTTCATTAGGGCAATTTCTTGTAAGTTCCGACGTATCCACGTAAATTAGACGATCTTCAAGTGGTAGTATGCGTATCTGATAGCATCCTCCTGCTTTTCGTAGCACTGGATTCTTATGGAAGCATTTGGTCCAGTTTGAAAATGAACTAAGTTTCAATGGACAACTGCAAATCTGTTTTTGGTTCATCCGATAATTAAATCATTTAACAATCAGTAATTATTTTACAAGCTACTCAATAATCAGTAACTTGTCCAGAAATAGCAACGGATCAATCATAATTAATTTTTTTTTTTAATGCGTATATCATTTATTCCACGTATTTTCCCATTTCTATTTCAATGATGCAATAAATTTGTGAATTTGTGAAGACGAAAGCAAAATAATATTAGTAATCAATTTTTTGATGTCTCGAAATAAACCGCACAGATCTGAATAGCTAACAATTCGAATAAACTAAATTTAAAATTTTAACAAATTATTCATGAAGCAAGATGTCATGTCGAGCTATCTTTTCCTGAACATATGTATTAAATGTTGTGTAATTCAAAAATAAAAAATAAAAAAATTGGAGATGGATTATCAGTATAAATAATTAATATTGGTATAATAATAATTAAATTAATAAATATACCGTTGTAAATTACAAGGTGCTTTCTGCACAAGATTTTTTTTAATATTTGATGGACAGCTGGCAAAATCTTTACCACGTGTCATTACTAATTTATCCTCATCTATTTCACGTTTCATAATTGGCATTGGCTGACCGTCAGCCCAACAAGTTGCTGAGCACTGTGACCACGGTTTGAATTTATAAAAGCATGGCATATCACTTTGTAGCAATTGACTATGCTATAATTTTGCAATATTTTGAAATATGGCAATGTATTGAACCTATTCAATTTTTTTCTAACATTTTGTTTGATGTAATATCGAATCATTTGTTAGATTTAAATTGAATCAATTTCTTAGAATTTTTTTCTTAACTAATAATCAAATTTTCGTCTTGAACAAACCTTAATTTTCAATGCTAACAACCAAAAACAGCTTGTAACAATCAGTAAGATGACAAATAAATTAATTATTGTCAGAATGCAATTAATAATCGAAAGCACTCGTACTTGCCTATTACGTACCAATGGAGCAATTCGCTGAAAATTATCAAATATTAAAATTAACTTGTAAAAATTTCAAAAAATCGATTAATGCATTACTCTTGAAATGTATTGTTAAAATTAATAAATATATTGGCAATGTTTACAACTCTCGAATTATGTTCAAAATATCAGTATAGCAGTTCATGCAAGAAAACAGTTTTAACGATCCTCAATGAGCTTTGTTAAATTATTAAGTAAGGTATAACTTACATTATACCAAGCTGAAAATGACGAAGAACCCTTCGTGCTAGTTGAAGAACCTTCACAAGGTTCCGATAGATCAGAAAGCTGAAAATGAATTTTATTTTCAGTCAATTCAATCAATGAGCATAGCGGGCGAATCATTAAGAGAATTTCTCGTGAAATTTTAATTGAGAAAAAATACAACAGGTGAAATTATTACACCTCTTCCGTATCCGCACCAGCAATTGTCGATGCAACAATTTCATTCTCCACAACGGATGGTTCATTTTCTGCTTGTTGTATTGGAGTGGGATTTAACTGTTCAGCTAATGTTGCCATCAGTGTTTAGCTTTAGCCTGAAAAATGATGCCAAAGAACATTTATTGAAGCCAGGAAAAAGTGCTAGAGAAAAAGTTAATTTTCTAAATTAGTGAATTTAGTCATTAAAATTAGGGGAAGTGAGTAATACTTTTACATTTACTATTTAAGGCAGAAACAAGAATGCAATTTTATGTGTTACTCCAATGTTATTTTTTATAAAAATTTCATGAACAACAGAATGAGTGTAAAAAAATTCTAAAATATGATAAGGAAAAAAAACAACAAGAAAAGAAGGAAAAGATGCTAAGCTTTTTGCAACAATTTTATCTTTCGTAATATCGTGATATCTCGATATTTTAGTTAAATGTTCGTGATTAGTAAGATATATTCAAATACATATCTTACTAAGCTCGAATCAATAATTATGTAGAATAAATAAATCATTTACACATACAAAATTAATCGTGTAAATCTCATTATATAAATTCTTTAATCAACAAAGTAAACAAAATTTGAGAGCAAGCAAAAGGAGAAATAATCAAACAATAAGCTTTTTAGCAAGAAAAAAAACTTTCCATTTCTCTTTGGAGTCAAAAGTCCTCCAAACAAATAATAACATTTCTAGAATGAACCAAAAAAAATAGATGATATAGCATAAATTAGGAAAATAATACAAATAATTTCACGTTACTATTTACGTTTGACAATAACTATGTTTGCTAAAAATGATAGCATCAAAAAGCATACTTGCTACGAGAATAGAATCGTTTCTACAATCACACCGACTTGCACAGATGATAATTTCAGAAATGTTAATTCATCGATTGTATGTAAGTTATTTAGAGAGGAAAATTTTTATGCAATTTATTTCAATGTAATATTTATAAAATCATAATTTTATTCTTAGTGCTTATCGGATGATGGAAGTTCTAAATATTTGTATTGAAATTGTTCTAAATGGGCCAAATGAATGATGAAATAAAATTTGTTCCACATAATTGGTGATAATTGATGTGATGAATATCATATTACTCAGAGAAAAAATTTTTTGTTTGATGTAAACGTGGCATGAAATGTGAAATAATTAAAGTGAAGAATATTTGAGGAAGATTGAAATCGAAATTCTAGATGATGCAATTTTTTTTCTTGTTGCTGATTAAATTTAAGCAAAACATTGCCATTTCATTCCACTTGAATGATTTCGACTTACATAACAATTTGTTGCAAGCACTGCTTTATCGATTGATAGCTGCAAAAAATGTTTGCAAAGATCTCAGAAGAAAACTTGCAAAGTTTTGAAGAATGGAAAATCATTTTTTCTCTCTAAGTGAAACCTCGTTTGTGTAATGAATTCCAATTTATGTTTGTCACGTTTACAGACGACTATTACAATTACCAACATTTCATTCTTTACGGACACCAATTGGCCCAATGCTGATTTGTTATTACTGATAACTTTAACTTTCAAAGATAGCAAAAATTGTTGTGAATAGGATTGTTTGTTTTGATTTGGTTTGGGATAGTTTTGTATTTATGGGCACGGTCGAATTTGTTGATGGAGGTTTTTTTTTTTTGGAACAGGGTTTCTTTCGGATCGACGTTAACGTTGTTGGGTTAGTTGTACTTCCTTAGGATGGGAGTTGATCGTTCTATTAGATCACGATCGGATGAATTAGGCTTGGATTCGTTAATGAATTAGAGCAACACAAAGAAATTAAATTTAACAAAGACAAAATTGTGAAATGCAGCTTCCTCAGCCTAATTGTCAATAAATTTATATATTTTACTATGTTTAATTTGATAATTTTATTTTTTATTACCAATTTAATTTGATAATTTTATATTGTGGATTAATTTCGGACTTCCAAGAAAAATTAGCGAGTGGAAACAAAAACAAAATTAACAAAAATTATCCGCATTTCATTTATATTTGAGGATTCCGAAGTCATATTGCATTACTGTTTAAAATCTCCAAATCATTCTCGAATGATTACTTATCACATCAAACAGCGATCTATATTTCCATAATTATAAAATTAGGCTCAGTAACTTTTCAATTAAATAAAGAAATTAAGACAGAGTAATACGCTTTGCAAGCATTTTTATGAGATTTTCTTGAGTTTTAATTAAACTAATACCTGTAGAATTGCAAAGACAAAATTGTGAAATGCAGCTTCCTTAGCTTAACTGTCAATAAATTTATATATTTTAATAAATTTATGTATTTTACAATAAATTTATACATATATTTTTAATAAGCATTTGTTCTTTGCACATGAAAGTCAAATTGTTCGGGAAATTTTCAAATCACTAATCTCATTTCCTTCCCTCAATAATTATAAACTATCACTTCTCATATTTTCATTTAGAAATTGTCACCCAAACGTTATATCATATTTAAATTGTCACCTTCCATGCATACAAAAATCCATCCATTTCTTCCACTCTCTTTCTCTCTCTCTCTCTCTCTTTGCCACATATAATTTCTTCATTGCAAATAACAAAAAATAAAAAAAAAGGATAAAATACAAAAATAATCAGCTGTTATCCCATTCAAAATTTAACAAGTTTTATTCATGAAAAACTTTCGAAATTATTGAATTCATCATAAGTTAATTCTGTCACTTTTGAATTTACTAAATCAACAACCATACTGTTAAATGTAATTTTTCTCCTCTTTCTTTTATTCACCTCATCTTTCAAAACTTCTAAAGCGACATCTCTTCAACTGATGAGAATCATAAAGCTTTGTGAAAAGTGAAACGTCTATCAAATGAAATACATCATTTTGGTGTAATATCATAGAAATGCTAACAGTGATGATAAGATTTGTAGAAATACTAACAAAATGCTTATCATTTATGCTTCAATCAATAAATCGGTTTCAATAAATGATGATAGCAATGATAAACAATGATAATTTCGTCCTTTTTTTCCCTCCAAAAACTTTGATAATGGAAATACATTCAGCCATAAATAATTTCGTCCTTTTTTTCCCTCCAAAAACTTTGATAATGAAAATACATTCAGTCATAAATGATATTTACACTCATCCATTGTAATATATAGGCATTATCTATATTCTTATCACTGTAATGTTACATTATTTCACTATCATTTGCTAGTTAACACAAGCATGTAAGCTCATTATTTCATTATTATGCTTCAATGTCACGCAATTTCGTGAACTTTTCACATATATGTTTCTTTTTTTAATGTATATTTCATATTGAAATTCTGCTGCAATAGATGAGTTTAAAAAATTTTGAAAGTACGAATCTCAACTCGAACAGTTTGTTGTCGTGTTTTTATTTGTTGTTTATTTTGATATGTGTGTGTGTGTCTGTCTATGTATGTATGTTTGTTTGTGTGTGTAATATTTTTTGTGTTCTCTCTTTCTCTTCCTCTTTCTATCATTTGAGTGTCACTGCAAAGAACAAAAATATCGGAAGGCGGGGGAGGGGGTTGAGGGTAGCGGGTAGAGGTGATGATGGATGATTGAGATTGAATGGAGAGAGAGAGAGAGCTTTTAAATGCACGATTTAAGCTGGAGCAATTGTTGGCAGGTTTTTTAAAATTTACTTGTTTTTGCTGTTGACATGTAACCATCGTTATCTCACTCATCGATTGATCACATTATCATTATCACAATCAGTGAGAAATTCTAAATGAAAAAAATGAAATAGGTTTTAATCTTATTAATTGGAAGAAAGTATATGGCTTTGTATCAAAATGATGACGATGCATTCTGACAATTTCGTTTATTTTCTTAACGCTTTGATTATAGAGTTCTGATAAGTTATGTAAAATTAACAAAAATAAACATATTTTTATCATCTATTAGAAATTGTTTTATCATTGTTGTTATGTTATCCTTTCGATAGTAGGTATAACATTTTTCAACTTACTTTTTTTTTCAATTTTGCTTGTTTAGACTTTCTTAATTTAGCTTGATGAACAATACTAACTATAAATCGTTGCCGATATTTGTTTTTAATATTGTGATGTCATCTGTTTTATTCATTGAGGAAATATTTAAGTGAGAATTCATTTGAAAAGAAATGCGTAGAAAATATCTCATTCAGTTATTATTTCGATCGTTATTGTGTATTAATGAAAAAGTTATTACAGATAAGTAATGGAAGTAAGATTGAAAAATTTTTAATGGTTTAGCATTTTGATGAAAATTTAAGTAAGGAAAATACAATGATCATTTGTTTGTGTATATTTTAGTGTATACCATATTGATCTTTTGGTAATAGTGATAAAAGTAGTGCTGCGCATATCTGCATCTATCTGAATTGAAATAAACAACTAAAAAATTAATCATCGGTGTTTGCGTTTTTATACTTTTTTTCTGTGTGGTTTGAAAAAGAAACGAGGAAAACAGAGATTATGGCTTAAAGTAAAAGTATATATTGGGACAGTCTTACAGAAACAGTGCTCTTTGAAGTAGCAGAAAAATCGATCCTACAAAAAAGTGAAGAAAGAACTGTGATTTCAGCAACGAATGATATGGCAACACTTTCCTCAATACCAGCATTGGAGATGCGCCCGCATTCACCATACAGACCACCGGGTGATAAGTCAGCTTGGTCAACTAAAACTAATTTAGAACGGTGAGCTCTTTATTGTTTTCCTCCTAAAATAATGTACTCTTTTCAAAGCAATGATCAAGACTTTTTGATTGGTTGATAGATGAGCCAGAAAAAGACAAAAATTAGAATTGCATTAATTTTGCAGCCAAGCTCTGTCTGTTCAAATAAAAACATATGTTGGAAAAAAATTGATCGATATAGTTCGCATTTTACAGATGGGATATGTGTGATTGAATAAACAGATAATGGGTAATTAAATAAAAATGGCTCTTTAAAACTCGCACAAGCTAATAAATAACTTAATTTCTTGGATGTGAATAGTTATATTTCTTATTTTTCAGAGTGATTTGGATTTTGCAAACGCCGTTTCGTACTGTTTTATGTCTATCAAATGTTACTGTCTTTTTCGTCACCTACTTTGGTTTTATGCTTCCAATTCTTTGGGCTCGATCTTTATGGTAACAATTTCCGAGTTTTATTGCCAGAATAAAATCTCTCTTTTTAGAGTTATGCATTTGAGCTTGAGATTAACGATAGAGGAAAATCTGCTATAACTCCGATCATTTTTTTTTTTTTCATTTCAATAGCTATTCAAAACAAACTGCTTACCAGTTTTTAATTTTGAAATCAATGGGAGATGCATAATAAAATATTTCTATTTAGGCCAAGATTGTATTGGTTTTATGAAGGGAAGCTTTATAGTTGGTTACAAGCGTTCATTGGTTACGCGGGCTATACTGCTGGATATGATGGTAGGTCTTTTAACAGTTTGAAAATATTCGTTACTTTTATTAATAAAAATGAATATCAGAGTTTCTTTTTTTTTCTTTGGTATTGCATCTTTTCCATATTTCTAAATCTTTCGAAATATTTTCAGTGTATGAATATGGTGATGATGTTAGGAAGTTATGTGTTGATGAACGGATTATTCTCATGTGCAATCATCAAAGTACTGCAGATGTTCCTATTTTGATGACTACACTCCAAAGCAAGGGAGTTGCCAGTAGAAAGGTTTACCATTATAGTAATGAATTTTAGGAATTTTTATGCTTAATTGCTTTGTTGCATGAACATATGCTATATGTAGTGCTTGTTATCAGATCTGAATCGATATATAATGGCGAAAAATGGAGTACATTTTTCAGACGTTATGGTTGATGGATGTCATGTTTCGTTGGACACCTTTTGGAATTATTGCTCAGATGCATGGTGATTATTTTATTAAACAAGGGAAAGCAACACGAGAAAAGGAGCTGATTCGTTTGAAGGATCATTTACGAAAAGTTTTTTGGGATCGTGATCGGCGATGGATTATTCTTTTCCCGGAAGGCGGTTTCTACTACAAAAGAATTCAGTCTAGTCAGAAGTAACCACAATTTTGTTAAAATAGGATTGAGATTCATGGTATTTTTTAAAAGGTGTGCTTTTTAAAGATTCTAATTTTTAAGGTTAGGTAGCAGTGAAAAAGCAAGTAAGCAAATGACAATTCCATAATCGCTCCGGATTTTTTCAAGACTAAGATTGTAAAATCTACAAACTTGAAATTCAACTTGTCGGATTTTGCACTGCCTGCGATGTCGACTTGAAATGATAGACCTTTGTGCATGTATGATTATATTGATATGCCGTTTCTGAGTGTGAATGCTTTTATTGCTAATCAAAACAGCGCTAAAGCATTAAGCTACAATTTATCGCCACAAAAGGACAGCCCGCATGAATCAAAGGACATGAGTTGATACGCATAATTTTGTGATATTTAGGTACAGTCGTGAAAATGGTTATCCGCATTTGGAACATGCAACATTACCCCGATATGGTGCCATTAAAGCAATTATGGAGGAAGTTGGTCCAAAGAAAGGTTACAAATACACAGATGATGTAACCACATTTGAAAATGGTAGCAAATTGCAGCTTATTCGAGATACAGTTGGAGCGATCAGAGAAAAAAAATACATCAAAGGTTTGTTTTCTGTCTGCCTTCGAGTTTTTCGTTTTTATGAATCTTGAGGAATAGTAGCTGTGGTGTAGGAAATTTGCAGAAAGCTAATAAAATATCTTGCATGGTATTTATAAGAAAAATATTGAAATATTCGCTTTCAATATAAATATTAAACGATGAGAGAAATTAAAAATCCGTTTTCGTTCTCAAATGTAAATACTTGAGATTTTTATGAAATATCAGATTAATTATGCTACAAATTTAAATTTTTTACGAATTTTTTTGGAACCGTTAAAAAATAAACGGCTGTCAAACTAAAGATGATGTATGTTGTACATTGTCAGCTTTTTTGGAAAAGCAAGGCCGCTGCTTTATATACATCCATTTCGTATTTAGGGAAGTTTTTTCATGGATTAGCTCCTAAGGTGCACTAAAAATTTGAGTGCCTTAAATGTTTCAATCAGAATTTAATTTTACTTGATTTTGGTGAATGATTTCATAAGATCCAGTTAAAGTTTTCATCAAAAATTAAAAAAAAATAATACATCAGTTTTTATTTTCTTTTCATTTATGTATTTAATATGTAGAATTAGAAAAACACTCTCACTTGAATCTCAGGTTAAATAATATTTGTTTATCGAAATGCACGAGTTCAGCGCCTTAGAAAATATTATTTTTTAATTTTGTTTGTAAATGAATCTTGACACGAACATTTAATTGATAGGTTGTCAGTTACAATAAGATTCATTCCTATAATTAATAATATTGGTTGGGATAGAAATGCGATCCATTTTTTTTCTGCTAGAATATATTGTGGAAATTCAAAAAAAAAACGCAAAATTAGCAACTGTTTTATAACTGACAACCAATCATTCATATTAACTGATTGTTATCGACTACTTGATATGAAGAATAATTCAGAGTTATACGTGAAGTAGTCCTCTCACAATCCCAATTTTGTTTATTAAAGAACTGCTGTGATTTTGGAACGTGTACTTGTAGAAGAGTTTCTCTGATGACGTGTTTTGTTTTCCATGGTCAAAGATCATAGAATAGTGTGGAAAAGTGAAAAATTATTCCTAGTTTATACTTTTTTATGAAGAGAAAAAGCTGAGGAAGAAAACGGAGTGTGGAGAAGGGCGAAGGGAAATATATGATGGAAAGTTAGGAGAAAATTTGTAAAATAGTCTAAGAAATCTTTTTTTTGTGGTATTCTATTCAGTTTTGTAATTTAATTCAAAAATAGTTGTGATTAGAATGATTTATCAATCATGAAATATACCTCAATCCTTCTTTTGGCAAAAATCAAAATTTTTTTTTTTAAAAAAAGTGACTAAGCACGAAAAGATCATACGGCGTGCTATTTGGTTAGCTTGAGTTTGAGTAGCCTTTAAGCGAAAGTGGTTTTCGATTGTAATTTCAATCGGTGAAGAACTGTGTTATCTCGTACTGTAAGATTTTTTGTTTTGAATTTGGCAGCACACAAAAATTGATTAAGTAGAAGATGTTAATCTCTTCCCATCCTAATACCCTGTTAAGATTATGATATACATAATTGATCGATTTTTATAACCAAGACACTGATGCCATGTCTGTCTAAGTTAGTAAAAAGTTAGGTAACGATTGTATTAAACGCTTTTGAAATAATAGATTATTAAATACTTAAAAAATATTTTTCATTCAAGAGCGCATAAAAAAAAATCTCATCACGAGAATGAAATCACACATTGTTAGAAAGCATTCTTAAAATTATGAATTAAAAGCCGTTTCCCAGATGAATCACAAAAATTTTCTGTATGTAGAAATTAGTAAGAAATAACATATTGGCAAGTGATTAGGCGGACGAGAGATTGGTGTCTGTTTTTTTACACATAATTCTAACATTGTCAAAACTCGTCTCGTCCAAGGAACCAGCTATTTAACTGTAAAATAGCGTTAAGAATTGTTATAGCGATAATTATCCTTTAGATTTTAAACGATGAAAAAAAGAAAGAGGTTAAAGTTGAGAGTGATTCAAAACAGTTAAATGTGTGAATTGAACATTATGTGAGACTGAACTTTATGGAATTCTTGATTCGAGGATTCAAAGCAATGAAGACTGCTGTTTTACTTTTAAATGAAGACAGGTAGTTTGGGGTTGATGACGATATTATTTTACATCTGAATAGTTTCGAGAACATTCTATTTAATTATATTTAACATTTGGCGCTCTCATTGGTGCAAGAGCTTTATAAATTTTTAAGAGACTGTGTTTTATTATTAGAGAAAATTCTGGGAAAGGAAGGACGGATATGTTTGGGAGGTAAAGCATACCTGGTGGCAAAAATAAAAATTCGATTTCCATAAATTATTTATTAAAGTGTTTTTGAATTTCAGAAATGCGACCACCAATAAAGTATGTATTGGATGTAACGATTGCATATCCACACAAAATGCCGCTTTCACTTGTCACATTGAGTTTTGGTACTCGTGAACCATGCGATATTGGTGTATATTATAAAATTTATGATGCTACTGATGTAAGTTATCAACCTCTTATCAACTTAATGCCATGATTATCACCTATATTACTGTTAATCCATTTATTGCTTTCTGTGTAGCTAAAATTCAAATCATTGTTTGGCCGTTTTTAACTTATTACGATAGTAATATGGTTTGAGCTTTTTTGTATGTCTTTATTTTACTTTCCTCTTCATTACAGCTTTGTTAGGTCGTTTCCTTCCCAAAAATTATTTCTTATGATGGGGATAGTTTTACACAGAGAAGGATTTTAAATAACTGAATGGTTATACCAAAAATGATTTTTTACAAGGAAGGAATCTACTGGAAGATGGGTATTAATTTCCCTTTAATTTCCGGTGGAAAGTAAAGGTTTAAACTGACCGAATACGTTCATACCTTTTAGCGTAAGCTACCAAATAATGAAACGAAAAGAACATCACTAAAAGCGAACATTTCATCTTCTTTTTACCGATAGACAAAGACTGATTATATAAGTGGATCGGATTAAGTTGAAAATTTCTTCTTTATATAGTCTGATTCTCTGTTTAGGTAAATTATATTCTCTCTTCATTACTGTCTTGTTTCGGATCTCCACATAGTAATGAAATCAGATAAAAGTGATAGCTAATGATTATTGTGTTGAAATTTCCCCTGGACATGTTTTTGCAGAAAAAAAATAGAATTTAAATTTGTCCCTACTTGTTTTTTTTCAGTTAGATTAAATTCTTTTTATTTTTGCATTCTTATCGGAGTAAAAGATCAAATAAGACTTCAGGTACCATTTGAAGATGAAGAGAAGTTGCGTGATTGGTTGTACAGCGTTTATCAGTACAAAGATAATATCCTTGGTAGTTTTTTGTGGTTCCGCGCATTTCGTAAATTGATATCAAGTTGATTGAAGAAATGTTTTGTAAATTAAAATCGAGAAATCGTAGTTAATGATGATGGTTATAATTGAATGTTCGAATTCAAAACTCATTTGGAAAATTTTTTGAAACTGAATTTTATCATCCAAGATTTCAGATCGTTATTACAAAGAAGGCGTTTTTGTATTTGGCGAAGAAGGCAATAGAGTATATTTTCCATGGTGGAGAATTGTGGGACAGTATATTTTCTGGTTAACATCATTTTATGTGCAATATCGATTTTATTCATTCGTGGTACTTCATTTTCTGCGAAGTATGGGTTTTATCTCTTGAAGTTTATGTTAGTACTTGCATTATTTGTGTTCGATGAAGCTATTGCTCACTTTAGATACAAGATGAGAATGAGCTTTTTTTTCCCAGGATCTCGCAGCAGCTAGTCAACATGAACTTTAAAGATATAGCTATCTCATGAATGGATAATCCATTTTCCTACGGAATTACTTCCTGTTATTCGAATTTTTTGAGTCATCCATTCAGTATTTCAAATTAATTTCACCCTTATTTGCTTTGAAAATTTCATCCTGATCAATTCATCGAGAATAATTAGTCTCTAAAAATTAAGTTGTAATTATTTACTGGTATCCCTCTTAAAAATGCTGGCTTCCTAAAATTAATTTATTTTAACATCTGTATGCGAACAGATTGTGTATAATTTTTTTACTGTTGTTTTGATGTTTGTTGAATTGTTGCAACTAAAGCTAGCGTAAGCACTGTATTTTTGGTTAAATCCTTAAATTAATAAATGAACTTTGCAAGTTTATTTGCAGCGAATGTTTACAAGAAAAAAGTGGAAAATATGGGATGAAAAGCAATTTGTTAGCATTTTAATAAAAAATTCATAACTGTTCATAATAAATAAAAGGGAACATTGGAAGGGACTGAATGTACTTCTTTCTTGAGCAAGAGAGCTAATCGCAGTATATAATAAAGAGAGATCAAAGAAAAGAGCATTCTGCAGTTTTGTGACAAGAGGTGAAGACTTTATCGCATTTCGAACGCTTAATCTCCTACAAAATCGTTTTCGGATCAATTAAAATTACATTGAAAGAATTAGAAAGAAGAGTTGTAACTGAAAAGAGAAAAGAAAAATGCATAAATTGCTCTTGCAAGAAATTGAACATCATAATTGCATGCTGTTGACATAATTAACCTATATCCTTTCAAACTGAGATTAAATTTTAACAATATTATTTTCATCTATATGATAATTTTCGTCTGTATCATTAGGAATTTTGTCATCGGAAAAACCGACGACATCTTCAATATTTGAGAAAAAAAAAGAGAAATAGTTATATTAACTGTAATCATCTATTAATATTTGCTTTTTTCATTTTATTAGCAATATTTTTTTCTTCACAGGTACTCTCGTTTAATTTTATTAAAATTTAACTATTTACCAAAAGTTCTCTTCACCCGATCTTTTTCTTCAATATTAAATGTGCATTCAATCTATTGTTATCAAAGCTATTCCGGAAGAGATTTTCCACACTGAGCACCTTATATTAATTCATCCTTTGCTTCATTTACACACAATTACATTTCATTATTGCAAATAAATTTAGATTGCAAATGAAGAAGAAAAAAGACATTTTTAATTTCCAAAGTTGTTGTTAATTTGAAGAGCTTTGAAAGAAAAAAAGGGAAAAAAATAAAAATCAAGCAGTTCATAATGTCAGAAGTTCCGTTTGCTAACAAAGCGAAGAAAAAAAATTAATGCAACGAAAGTGTGGTATTGATTAATTTTAAATCCTAAAATTACGAAATAAGAACAAAATTAGAAATTAGGAGACTTTTAAGTCTTCAATTTTTTGCCCCTGAGGACTTGTTGTAAGATCCTTTGAATGATACGTAGCATCTTTTTTTTTTCTTTTTCCGCACTTTTCATTTGAGTATTCTAAAGATTTCGTTTCTTTTTTTTCATTAAATTTTCGACTAAAGAGGAAAATGGCATCAGAATGCCGATGATGCTATGTGCATTATGTAGCATTTAACAAAATGATTTACCATCGAAACTATTAAGATAATAAAATAAGCGAGAAAATGATTCGAGAAAAAAAGAGAAGTCATTTTTATGATGAAAATGTCAAATTCCTGAATGATGATCGATAAGATTTAATAATGAGTTGCAACAATAACGCCATGAAGAGAAAAGAAGAGAATAGCAAACAAAATTGTATTATATTTGTGAAAACTTTTCAAATCAAGAAAAAAACCCATCAAATTTTTTAAATTTATTTCGGCATTTCTAATTATTATGTACTTAATTATTATAGATTTATTTGCATTCATGTTTGTAAAAATGTATCATTAATTAGATATTACTTATTACCAGTATTTAAGCTTTTTTATCAATTTTTTTCGAAATAATTGTTTTATTTTAATTTTTTTAATTACGAATTAAATTGAAAATTATATTTTGGAGTATATTATGCGAAGCTTAGAATTATCAGATCTCACTTCTTACTTACTTTTATGTAACGAGTATCCAATGAATAAAAATTGTTACATGCTAAATAAATCGTATCAATCTCCCTTTCAATTTACTAATCAATTTTAAAATGATTGTTGATGATGTAAAGTTTTTGATTTGAACTTGCATAGAAATTTCTAGCATATATGTTTGAAGCCAAGAATTACCTGTTTTAACGAAATGATATTTGTCTATTTCAATTTAATTTTATCACATTCAAGAAGCGCAAAAATGCTATCGTCATAATATCAAAAGTTAAGTGATGATAAGAAATGAAATATAAAAAAAATTGCGGTAAAAAAAAAACAACACAAATTAAAAATTTCACGATAGTTTGCAGAGCTCTCACTTTACAAATACAAAAAAAGACTCATGCACTACTGAATTTTACATTTACAAATTTAAAAACTGCTTAAAACTACATTAAAAATATAATTTCGTTCATATTTTGTGAAATCTTTGAAATTATATCAATTTATTTCAATTCTTTTTTTGTGTGCTTAAAGAACCATTTAAAATTGATGAAGTGTCAGTGAAATAAATTTTAATAATGAATATTAAACAGCAATTTGACTAAATTAGCAGATTGATAAATTTATGAGATTCATTTAATTTGCCAAAACTTTAAAATTTCAACTTTTGTTTTTTGTCATAAATTTTAATTTCAATCATTCTTGTTTGTTGTTACTGCTTTCAGATATGTTTTTTCTTTTGCAAAATTTTCGTTAATTTTTAGCTTAACGCAAACGGAAGCAGTTTTTTTCTTAGTTTTTTCTCAAAATCTTTTTCATTTCTTTTTTTTGTTAATTAAATCAAAAAAATTTTTTCTCTTGTGACTGCAAAGATGTTCTTCAATGGATAAATATATGTGAGAGTATAATTTTATTCATTATTTACACTTTATTTCGATGAAATGCAAACTGGGTTACTTTTGTATATCTTCCTGTCACACAGAATAAAATTCTTTGTTTGTTTTGGGTAATTAGGAGAGAAAAAGCTTAGTGATACTTTATCCTCCAAAGCTTTTTATTTTCCCCCATGCACTTTTAAATGAAATTAGAATCCATCTCTTTTTTTTCAGAACTGCAACCAACTTAAAGTATTGAGGATCTGTTAAGGAAGAAAAAAACAAACATCTTTCTTAAAAAAAAAAAAATTATCATTGACACTATAATAATATTTGTATATTACCGATGGATATTATTATTAGCGCTTATGTTATAACAATTGTTTTGTTTTATTATTTTTCATATTATTTGCCAAAAGTATTTTCCAAAATTAAATTCTAATGGAGTGCAGATAAATAATGCAAATGCAAATTTTCATTTTCTCATATCGCATTTTTGTTGAATATTGAACATCCAAGTATTTTTTACAAACAGCCGGGTTTTTTTTTCTCCTAGGTAACTTATTGCTTCATAAGTTTTGAAAGATGAAGGGAAATCATTATTAAACAAATGCAATTTTTGCTGTTAGATGAATGTTTGGCGGGAAAAAATTTTGCCATTTTAATGATTAATGTTATGAAATAGCAATATTGATTGATTTTCGAATCTTCATTGTATCACTTATAGAAATGGTTATATTTATTGTTTGATATATTAAAGTGAAATTGAAAGCACAAATAAAAAAAAGAAAAATATTGGAGGAAATTCTGTTAAACTAATTTTTCAGTGAATAGCTCTTTTTTTTTTATTTTTTATTCTTCACCTAACTGTTTTTTAATAGGTGACTTGGCACTATTTAAATACGTATTTTTGTGTTTGTTTAATTTGGATAACTTATAACACAGGAAATGTTTCCAAGTTATTCATTTCAGCGAAATAATTTTTATAATAATTAAAAATGAAGTGATAATAAATTTAAGCTAAAGATTAGCACAAAAATAATATCAATTAAAGCAAGAAAATGAAAAAATATTGACAGTTGATGATTTTTTGCTTTGTTTTCTGTTTTCTTTTTTGGTTTTGTTTTTTTTTGTTAGCAATCAAGCCGTTTTACCTGAAACTTATTTATCCGTAACTCTTTTAAATGAGATTTATTTTAAGCAATTTTATATGAAAATATACATTATCCTATGCAATCTTCACGTGTCTTGCATATTGCAATAAATGACATTAAAAGCAGTAAGCAAAAAAAAATGTCAACATTTGCACGAATTAAAAAAAAAATAGTCTAAGATCTGTGGAGAAAAAGAAAAATAATCTTTTATTTTCAAATCCAAATTCAAATAAAATTTAAAAAAAAAAACTGAAATTAAATCTTTCATAAACATTTTGTCATTATTTAAGCAATCTTTCAAGTATGAATTTTTCAAATAAACGAAATGCCACTGATAATGCTTCATTTGCTATTTGAATTTGATCAAATTTTTTTTTTTCAAATAATTTCAAATAATCAAACATTTTTTCCAAATCCAAACAAAATTTTAAAAAAAAATCTGAAGTTAAATCTTTCAATGTACTCCAAAATAGACCTATTTTATCATCATTTATGCAATCTTTTAAGTATGAATTTTTCAAATGAACGATATGCCACTGATAATGCTTCATTTGCTATCTGAAACATCGATTTCAAATAATGGAATATTTTTTGTGTCCAATATGACGAATAAAGAAGAAGAAGAAGAAAACGAGCATCAGCTCAAGTGGTACATTCAATTCAGTCAATATGCTGTAAGAAAAAAAAAGTTGCTTGGAAGTTAGTTGTGGAAATCAAATGGTGCAAAAATAAAATGATTGTGATGATCGGAAGGATAAGAATGACGGTGTCATCATGAATGATTGACACACTTCATGCATTCATATATTAATATCATGCAAAAATATTTCTTCTTTTTAATTTATTTTTAATCGTTTTCTCTTCAAAATTACAATAACTTTATTATCATTTATCACAAAAAAAAATGGAAGAAATAAAATTG